ATCCCAGTTTCTTGGATTTAGATTGCCCAAGAGCTTCCATTTCGAGATGGTAGTACCAAGATTACAGGTAATATACCTAACCGATCATCAAATAATTGTTACCAAAACACAGACCTATTTTTCTAAAAATGTCTCTGGTGAGATTCGAACTTTATACCTGCTGCTTGGGGTATAACAACTTAACCATTACTCTAAGTCGCCACACCCTTTAGAAGGTTTTGTTATATAAAAGTCATATATATTAGTTCTCGATTAGGGGTAACTAGACAGCACCAACATCCCTAGTAGTAGAGTACTTGATTGAAAGAGTAATATAATAGTAACAAAACTAAAGTAGTGAGAAAAGTGATGAATACAAGGATGACTTGTAGTAAAGGATTAGTTTATTTGGAATTTAAAAACACTTCTGATCCCAAGCTATTTGGCCTATTAAGAAAAAAACTTATAAGAATAGAGCAAGAAGGCTAAAACTCAAAATATATGATAAAAACTCAAAATAGCTGGATTCACTGAACTGGTAGTACAATTATACAAATTAGATTTATATATCAGAAATCGACAAGAAACATCAAATAATAAAATTAGAAGTATTACAGACTCATAGGAGAAAGATCATCTGATTAGCTAATTTTTATAGATCTACCCATGATCACCCGTAATAATTAGCCAATCAAATTACATAATTTTAAATAAATTCATCACTTAATAATATTAGAAAACGAAAGAAACTTCATACGAAGAAGTTATAAATTAAACAACTATACAAAAGAATTAATTTATTTCAATATACAGAGAATATATCACATATTAGTAGTAAAATATGATTTGACAATAATTTAGTTTTATTTAGTAGGTAAACATGTGCTTTTGTCCTGTCTTTGAATAGTAAAATGGTTGCAAATTTTTTAAGATGTAGTGTATAGATACTAAGGTGAGAGTAGAAAGATTGTAGAGTTTAAAGTTTTTTAAAGAGAGAAAGTTTATGATATCGTAAGTATTTATTATAGTATGTATCCAAATTATAGGAGTTTAAAGATATTGATAATGATTTGAACAAATAGTCTTCTGCAGAATTACTCACCATTTTAAGCCCAGTTCTCATGGCTGCGAAGAGTGCCATAGTCTGCCCTGTACGTTTGACTTTTATTTTATTTAATTGGTAGTTCGCAAATAAATGAGAATAGCAATAGGAAAAGGGCTGATCACATAACTCTTCCCAACGATCACTTGTACCAAATTTTCTCTACAAACAATCTGCTTTTTTGCAAAATTTTATTAAGTAAACAATAGCTGGCTATCTAAGTAAACTTGTTCAATACAAGATTTTACATATAGGCAGCTCTTTATTATATCTCTTTAACTCTTTTACAAAGAGATATAGCTCACTTGTTCAAAATTCTATCTATTCAAAACTCTTAAAATTTTATTAAGTAAATACTACTTGCTCCTTAATAGAAAAAGATAGAGCTTATCTAGAGCTTCATTTTAATATATTAAACATAGCAAACAAACGTAAATTCAAGATTTTATCAAAAAAATTGTGCAAACACTTTTGCAAAACTTTTGCTATTTTTTCTGCAAAAATTTTCCTCTTTTTTGGGGGGTTCTGGTTCTATAGGATGCCCAAACTTGCAGATCCTTATTACTAATCAATATTATTAATTAATTTACACAAATTTAACTCCTGTTTCATCTATTTTTATCTTAAATTTTAATATTACTATTTTAATCTTAGATTCGTATACACCTTTGTAATACTAGATCAATGTCACATTAGGTTACACCAGCTACACCAGCCACAATATCTTTACCTTGTAGTTATACAAGGTTATATAAGGTTATACCAACTTGCCGCATTAGCCGCAACACAATTTAACCCCTGTTTTTTTTTTTAATCTTCAAAGGTGAGGTTTAACCCCTATTTTTACTTTAACCCCTAAAAACAACTTAGTTGTTTTTACAAAATACTAAAGTTTTCTTAGCAAAACTCAAAAACTTAGAATTTTTTTACTATCAAAATGCCTACTTTAACTGACCAGGAGCCAGATCATTTTGACCTGGACTATTTTCACAACAAATATAGTGACCGATATGCCACAATGATTTGTGATGCTTAACCTAGTTCATTGAAAACAATGTTTTTTGTATTTACCCAAGTGAATGTAATGCTCTTAAAACTCTTCATTACTTCTATACACCAGAAGAACCAGCTATTATTTGTTGTTTCTGTCAAAAATACCATACCTTCTTTACTTCAGGCTACTTAAATATTCTACCCAGACAAGCCACTTCCTCTTCTCAACACCTAAAACAACAAATATTGATTTAATAGCCAAACAAGTCAGAAGCCTAAAAGATGATATTCCACAATCTTCTATTACTAAATCTACATCTGATCCTACTTTTCCATTTTCACTCAACTACTTTGCTACTACAACATCTGGCAAACCATCTGAAATATCTCAAATTCAAGCACACTCTTACCATACTCATACATGTATTATTTGTAAACTTAAAGACATTCCCTATGCATTTTTAAAAGACAACAAATATATGCTTCTGAATAAAGCCACTCTAGTCCTTAGAGGTTATCCAACTCATGTCGCATGTATTCACAAACTCAAACTCCAACCTATCTCTCAAACTCAACTACTTACATCCGAAGCACGCAGTGCATTTTATATAATTAAATTAATCGAGAAAACTGCAAAATGAAAAATCTTTATATCAATATGGACGCAAATCACTAACTCATTCCGACGATCACTTGTACCAAGTTTTCTCTAAAAACAATTGCACTTTTCTCAATATTTTATTAAGTAAACCTACTC